GTGGATTACAATTTGAAAGCAATCAAGTGTGGAAATAGAAATAGTTAATATTTAAATAGACTTTAATAAAGTAAAAATGACTAAGTCTTGTACTTTTGGTAAGTTTTGATGTTCTTTCTCTTAGAGGTGCCCACATCCTTGGCATTGAATTGTACTGGCTTCACTCATGAATTCAGCTCACATTTGTCAACAGTCTAATTCAATGGTAAATGAAACTTTTATCGGCTCCAGTCTCAAAACTACATTTCCATGGTTGTACCAATGTGACGTGCAAGTCATTATAAAATAAGATGAATAAATTACTATATGCGATTACCTATTTCTTTCCCTTTCCTTTCTTCTTTGAATTCTTCTTTTTCTTCTTTTTACTTTTATTGGTCTTTGTTGAATTATTAGTCTCTGTAGGTGTGCTAGTGTTTGGTGTAACTTCTCTTGACGGAGTTTGGCTGCTGTCAAAGTCCTCATTGCTACCTTCCTCTTCTATTTCAGGTGATGCCTCAGCTTCAAGTTCTGGAGTTTCATCTTTATCAGATATATAGTAAGGTGGTACGTCATCGCTATTAGACAATAATTGCTGTGTTTCAGATTGAACTGGCAAGCTTCCGTTTTCATATAAGTCATCTTCTTCTTCAATTGCTCCTTCTCCTGTTCTTTGTTCATATATGCGCTCTCTCAAATCCATGACATCTTCTGGTTCATTGGTGATAATTGATGAACTATGAAGATTGGTTGATTTCTGCTCATCCACTTCATCTTGCTCATCTTCTTCATTATCATCTTGCTTCTTCTCATTTTGCTGTTCAAGTTGAGCAGAGGTTCCAGGGTTTAAGTTCGAAGATAAAGATCTGCCAAAGAAATCTAGCTCTTCTTCAGGATACCTGGGAGGTAATTCTTCACCTTTGGCCAATAATTTATCCGCAGTGTTGGCATACTCTGGCAACGATGTTAAACCTCTATCACCTTTAATCTTCTTAAAATCACTTGATGACACGAAACCATACTTTCTAACATTCGCTTCTATCCAAACAAAGCCCAACTGGCCAATATTGACCTGGAATTTAATATTGCTTTGAAAGCATCCAACGGCTGGGTATAAATCAGCAAAACAACCCTTCATTATGTCCATCACCTTCTTCCCATTGTGGGTAATGAAGATTGTACCTGTGCTAATTATGTATCCAAATCCGACAATATCTGATTGCTGTAAAGGTGGTAATATTAATGCATTATATTGACTGTTCTCCTCTTTGTGTTGTTGCAATGGAGTTGGTAATGGTTTATTTATCTTTAAATTTCCAGTAGATTCATAAGAGATTGAAAAATTATTATAACCTGGCAATCTGAAATGGTTTGGGTATGGTTTAGTTACCAATCCAATTGCAAAATGTTGATTGGAATCAATTGTTTGATCGTATTCAAATACTTTAGTTTCAAAGTACACAATATCTGTTAACAATCTACCCTTAACAGGCAAACTGTAGTTTAACACTGACGTGCAGCATGAAAATGGTTTATCATTATTTATAAAATTAATTTCTGTCTTATCATCAACAATAAATCTTGGTTGTAGGAAATCCTGATCTTGCTCAAATTCAAAGGCATTGATTCCTCGTTCTCTGATAGCAAGTTCTTCAATCATTGTATATGATGATCCCCTTTGGTTATCAAAATTGGGAGGTGTTTGTTTAGAAAACTCTTCGCCTCTCAAGTAAGCAATTTGCTCCTCTTGCTGCAATAATGTAAAATCATACTCTTCCGCTAAATGATTCAATGCTTCTTCATCGTTCAAGAAATCTCTCGGGATGGCAGAATTCCCTGATCCGTAACTTCCCAATCTTCCGCCTCCTGACAATAAACTATATTCTCCACTAGCAGAAGACTTAAAGAAAACCTTGTAAACGCAGACAAATAAAGCTAGAAAGACATTAAATGCAACTATGATACATATCAATATGACATTGGCAGGTTCCATTCTTAAAACCGTCCAATAATGGAAGTACAGCACAAAATTCTACCTGCTATCTAATTGGCAGCAATAGACTAATCTACTTTATAGAATCAACTAGGAATTGAAACTTGAACTCAATTAGAATTGAAGGATTGTACATTTTTTTTTTTGATTTTTATTTCGATTTTTTCACTTGGCATATTCGCTCCAGCTCCACAGTGATGTACTGATGTAACAATTAGACGAGAATACTAAAGATCGAAAAAACGTAGCAATAATAGAAGTAACGTAAGTATTCCTCTATTTGCTAGTTAAAAGTCCAGTCTTGAGAAGATAGGTATAGATCGAAGCTACTAATAAAAAGTATAAATCAAAATTATATTTTATCATTTGTGCGCTTATTCATAAGGAATTAATTCTACTGCTTTCTATAATATATAATTCTGCCCTGGAATGCAAATGTATGCTTAAATTAATTAGTATGCAAAATTTATATTACTCTTTAATAGATCTAAGTACTTTTAGGCTTACTATTCTTCATTAACGATCTAGCTCCGTCTTTAACCATAGGACAATAATGCTTATCAAGTATTACTGTTTCCCAAAGTGTTGCTGCACCAGAGTTACAACGCTCAAGTTCAACTTCTCTCTTCACATTTTTCTCAGTACCCAAGACGTAAATACCTTCACCACTGATTCTTTCTTCTGTATTCCATAGTCCTTGGATACCTTCATCATATCTAGTTGTTAATTTTCCAATGAACTTTAATAAAGCAAGTGAAGTCTTTTCAGGACTCTCGAGAATTGAAATATAAAGCCTTTTAACGAATGAAGTTGCTCTAGGTAAGGTTCCATTTTTAGATCTAAAGAAAATGTAATCTAAACATCTCAAAAGTAATTCTGCCTTGGTAGATACATTCACATTAGGCTTCTCCTCTAAACTATGAATTGATAATGGATCTGCCAATCTTAATGATTTATGAGAAAGCTCCAAATCACAATCAAGAGATAAGTCAGCCAAGATTCTGTACAATGTGGTTACAAACTTGGTCAAGTCTATGCTCATAGGTAATCTACCTGTAGAACTATGGTTTGTAAACAACGAAAATGCAGTTACTATACAAAGTAACACATTACGAATATTTCTTCCGTCAAACATACCCGCATCTTCTTCATCTTCATCAACTCCTGCTTCTTTTTCTTCACCATCTTCATTAAAAATGGAGTGATTATCCATGATGTCTGTCATGATTTCTCTCAAGACTTCCAAAAAGTCACCTAATAAGTCAACATTAGCCATTTTACCGAATCTTGCAAGACCTTCCAACACCGAGGCCATCAAATGAGAAGCTTCCCCGTGAGATCCAGATTTCAATATTTCCAAGTATAAAGTTAACAACATCTTTAATATCTTGGCTTGGAACTTCTCTCTTTCTTCCACAGTTAAAGCTTGTTCAGCCTTTCTCATTTCTTCGTCTATTTCTTTCCTTTCTTTTCTTGCCTTTCTCTCTTTTTTGGATATATGGACCCTATCTTTCTTCTTCAACTTGGGTTTTGTATTATCATTTTTATTATAATTAGGATCGTAGTCATGCAATACCGATAAGGAAAGAAAAATATTAATCACAGATTCATCAACTCTAAACTTTTTGTCCTTCACAGATTTGCACAAAATTCTCACCAATTCAAAAGAAATGTCACCATTCTCTTCGTCATCTTTTAACAAAGTTTCTATAGTTCTCAAACATTTAGTGAAAACGCTTAGATCGTCCACGTTAGATGGTTTCCTATTAAGACGACGGATAATAATAATGAAGACATCAGTTCTATAGTTGAAATAACGTAAAGATGATAAACACAATTCACATGCAGCTTTGGTTGCCAATTGTCCCATTCTAACTTGATCAGCTGTAATCTTCTTATTGTTCGTAGAGTTTGTAAAGGAGATTCTAGCCAATTTAGCCAAATTATCAACATACTCGGTATAATTTTGCACTAAAAGTTGCTCAAATTGTCTCATTTTAGCGACTTCCTTAGACACCTTCTCTCTTTTTTCTGCATCAGTTAATGGTCTGATCTTATATGAAGGGGCAAGTGATTTGAACACTGGAATGAGTGCCATGATCGAAAGTTGTGCCGTTACAGGATTATGTGAGGATGACATTTTTCTTAACCTGGTAAGGTTAGAGACGTTCGACTCTGGATCTTCAATCAAACTTGAAGCAAGGTCCGCTATTTCTTCCTTTAATTTAAAAAGCTTTTCTTGGGGAGAAAGGTGAGAATCGGGATCCTCTTCTGTTTTTTCTTGTTCTTCTTGCTCTTCTTTCTCTTGTTGGTCCTTTAATTCTTGTATTTGTCTATCAATTTCTTCCATTTCAGCATCTACAGCATCTTCCTCATCATCCTTCTTAACTTCTTCTCTTACACGTCTTTCTATCTTACCATCAGCTCTTTTAATTGGTAACCCTTCCATAACATTGTTATTAGTCTTGGAAGTACGAGGCTTCAATTCGTAATCTTGCTCTTCATTTTCCCAATCCACAGGCTCTTCAGAAGTTTGACTTCCTTGCTTTGAAGTGAATACTCCGGATCCAGACGCTAAAACAGCATCCAGCTCTTCACGAGCACGCTTCCTTTTGGATTCAATTTCCTTAGATTGCCTTTTCTTACCCATGTCGCCTTCTGTAGATTTATAATTCAGTGCAGAACGTTAGTCTCATCTCTTAGCTCTTATTTTAGTATGTAGTGATGAGATGCCCGAAAAATTATTAGATGCAGGACATAACTATACACAGGCTCATAGGTTTTTCTCAATATATTCATCTAATCTTTTTCTCTAATTTTCCGGATTAACGAATCGCCGGTACTGAAAAAAAGTTATACTGAAATGCCTTACTATTGAAAACAGAGTTATTGAAAAACATTTATGACTACTAAAGAGTATACCGCTTTATCCCCTTAAAATTACTTAGCTGAGACTTCTTCGTTTAAAGAATGATATAGAGGTACGAGCACTGCCCATGGGGTCAAGAAAGCACCTTATTTCCCAGAACAAAAATTGGTTGCAAATTGGGCATTTCCTTACCGAGATCTTCCAAAACTAAGTTAAACTTTCAATTTTAGAAGCATTACTAATAATAACAAAGGCAACAGTGGGTGTTGCAGTAAATAGCTCCTATATGGTCGTCGATCATGCCATTTAAAAAAATGCCATGATATAGTTCGGATTTAACTAACTGTTATGCTTCAATTTCACCGTATGATACCATCCCTATAGAAAGCATTCAATTTTTTCTTACCTGCTAAAAAGTGGAACACTTTTTTTTTTACCGAGCCTCCCCTGTAAATTTTGAATCATCGTTTAAGAATGCTTGTAAATGTAAGCAACTTTACTATTACATGATCGAAAAAATGGAAAGAGCAGAAAGGAAATATACTTCACGTCCACCTGGCCATTACACTGCCCGATAGCCTAATAATCAAACTGCTCATGACTTTCACAGCATCTGTACGAAATAAAAAGGTTTTAAATTCTGGACTCGTATACGATCGTATATGAAGTAAATTACACAAAAAAATTATTCGTAATAAAAAAGAAAAGTTGTATGCCGCCTTTTTATATAAACAACTGAAAGCTCCCAAAAAAAAAATACTTGTTTTCTTTACACTTACATTCGTTTATTAGGTCATCTTTCAATATGAGTTTGGGATTTAATACAAGTAGTCCGTATGTGAAAAACAGCTTCCAAACTCAAGCGTTTGAGGTATACAACCAAATGTCATGGTTACAATTAATTGCAACTGTCATTTTCTTGGTCTTATCTTATGATCAAATTATGTACCAAATTCGTAAAGGTTCTATTGCAGGTCCAAGATTCAAGATTTGGCCAATAATTGGACCTTTCTTAGAATCATTAGATCCTAAGTTCGAAGAATATAAGTCCAAATGGGACTCTGGTCCATTATCATGTGTTTCAATTTTCCACAAGTTTGTTGTCATCGCTTCATCGAGGGATTTAGCACGTAAAATTTTGGCTTCTCCAAAGTATGTCAAGCCATGTGTCGTTGATGTTGCCATCAAGATTCTTAGACCATCAAACTGGGTGTTTTTAGACGGTAAGGCTCACTCAGATTACAGAAGATCTCTTAACGGTTTATTTTATCAAAAGGCTTTGGAAATTTACATCCCTGTTCAAGAAAAGTATATGGATATTTACTTAGACAGATTCACTTCTTACAACGACAAGAGAGAATTTTTCCCAGAGTTTAGAGAATTACTTTGTGCTTTATCTTTAAGAACTTTCTGTGGTGATTATATTACCGAAGAACAAATCAAGTTAATTGCTGATAACTATTATAGAATTACTGCTGCCTTAGAATTAGTAAACTTCCCAATCATTATTCCATACACAAAAACTTGGTACGGTAAGAAAATTGCTGATGACACCATGAAAATTTTCGAAAAATGTTCAAGTATGGCCAAGAAACATATTAATGAAGAAAATGGTTCACCAACTTGTGTTATGGATGAATGGATCTACTTAATGAAGGATGCTAAGGAAAAGCAATCCGATGATTCCGACTCAAAATATTTAATTCGTGAATTCTCAGACAGGGAAATTTCAGAAGCAATTTTCACTTTTCTCTTCGCTTCTCAAGATGCTTCTTCCTCGTTGGCATGTTGGTTGTTCCAAATCGTTGCTGACCGTCCTGATGTTGTCGCTAAGATCAGAGAAGAGCAATTGAGAGTTCGTGACAATGATCCTTCAAAACGTTTATCATTAGAGTTAATTAATGAGATGACTTACACAAATAATGTTGTCAGAGAATCTTTACGTTACCGTCCTCCAGTCATTATGGTTCCTTATGTTGTCAAGCAGAGTTTCCCTGTTACTGAAACTTATACTGCACCAAAGGGATCTATGATTATTCCAACATTATATCCTGCTTTACATGACCCAGAAGTTTACCCTGATCCTGATACTTTTAAGCCAGAGAGATGGGAAAATGCAACCACTGACATGAACAACCGTAATTGGTTAGTTTTCGGAACTGGACCACACGTCTGTCTCGGTAAAAATTATGTCATGATGTTGTTCACTGGTATGCTTGGTAAGTTTGTTATGAATTCAGATTTGGTTCACCACATCACCCCATTATCTGAAGAAATTAAGGTCTTCGCAACCATTTTCCCTAAAGACGATTTAATTCTTGAATGGAAAAAGAGAGATCCATTGAAGGCTAATTAAAAGAAAAGGAACACACTAATATTAGAAGTTTTCTTTTCTCTCATAAACTATAAAGTTTTCTCGTACACTATAATTTATTTTATCTTTTGTTTCCAATTCGATCCACGATGTAAAATTTACTTGCATATCTGTGCATTTGCGAGAGGGACTACATTTATATCTTATTTACTCAACTCAAATTTCAATAGAAGTCACTTCATTATAAAACTAGGATTTATCTGTAAGACGAAAAGAAAATTTCTACACATTCGCATATGATTTAGTTATATTTATTTAATTTCTTTTATAGTTATATAGACAACAAGAAACCCTGAATGTTATTGAATAAATTCAATATTGACCTAAGCATCATAAGTAGAAGCGGAAATGTTTCCTCCTCTTCCAGTCCAGTTAACGTGAATCCAGTCACCCTTTAAGAAGTCATTTTCCTTACCTGGTAAAGTTTGGAAAGTGTGAGCACCGAAGTAATCTCTTTGAGCTTGCAACAAGTTAGCTGGCAATTTTTCTGATCTGTAACCATCGTAGAAAGATAATGCAGTAGTGAAAGCAGGTACTGGGACACCGTATTCAATAGCCTTACCGATAGAAGCTCTCCAACCGGATTGAGCCTTGGTGATGGCATTCTTGAAGAATGGGTGGAACAATAAGTTTTCCAAGTCTGGGTTTTCACGGTAAGCAGAAGTGATTTCACCTAAGAAAACAGATCTGATAATACAACCACCTCTCCACATAAGAGCGATAGCTGGGTTATTTAACTTCCAACCGTATTCCTTGGCAGCTTCTCTGATAAGCATGAAACCTTGAGCGTAGGAGATAATCTTAGAAGCGTATAAGGCTTGTTCTAAGTCATCAACAAACTTTTCTCTGTCAGTGATTGGAGATTCACCTTCAACAGATGGACCACCAAGAACCTTGGAAGCTCTAACTCTTTCAGATTTGAGAGCAGATAAACATCTAGAGAAGACGGCTTCACCAATTAAGGTAACTGGCATACCTAAGTCTAAAGCATTGATAGCAGTCCACTTACCAGTACCCTTTTGACCAGCAGTATCCAAGATCTTTTCTAAGACTGGTACACCGTCAGTAGGATCATTGAAGTACAAGATATCTCTGGTAATCTCAATCAAGAATGAGTCTAAAACACCCTTATTCCACTTGGCGAAAACGTCACCAATTTCCTTGTCGGTAAACTTACCAACACGCTTTAACAAGTCGTAGGCTTCACAAATCAATTGCATATCACCATATTCGATACCGTTGTGGACCATCTTGACGTAATGACCTGCACCAGCTTCACCAACCCAGTCACAACATGGCTCACCATCAGTCTTGGCAGCAATATCTTGGAAGATATCCTTAATGTGTGGCCAAGCTTCCTTGGCACCACCTGGCATCAAAGATGGACCATAACGGGCACCTTCTTCACCACCGGAGACACCAGAACCAACGAAATAGATTCCCTTTTCACCTAATTCAGCGTAACGACGGTTAGAATCTGGGAAATGAGAGTTACCACCATCAATGATGATATCACCCTTTTCTAAGAATGGGAGTAATTGTTCAATGAAAGCATCAACTGGAGATCCAGCCTTAACAAGAAGGATAATTCTTCTTGGTCTCTTTAAGTTGGCACATAATTCCTTAATAGAGTGAGCTCCAATGATGGACTTACCCTTGGCTTCGTTGGCCAAGAATTCATCAACCTTTGCGACGGTTCTGTTGTAAGCAACAACAGTGTAGCCGTGATCAGCAGCATTTAAGATCAAGTTTTGACCCATAACGGCCAATCCGATTAAACCAATATCACCACTAGCATTATTGTTAGTACTTATTTGAGAATTTGACAAATGGCTAGCAACATTTGCTATACGATTAATAGAGGACATATTTTTTCTGAGGTTAGAATTAGAATTGGAAACTTAGGATCACTGCAACTGGATTTCCAACGTTTGCTTTTCTCGTCCCTTTAATTTTTTTCTAATTTTTCTTTGTACTGTGCGATTTCGGCCTTTTCAACGTTTCTAGGCGGAAAGGAATTTTCCGTTATGATGAGTAATCTGAACTAACTGAAACACAGTACTTTAAAGTCCAAATAGAATCAAATTAAAAGCAGGATAAGAAAAGAAAGAAGAATTGACCTATTGTTGTATAGGCATGCTGTCAAAAGTGCAATTGAAAAATAAAACAGGCCCCTTTCTGAAACCCCACACAGTCCGTGGGAAAATTGAAAAATTTCTGATCACTGAAATACGCTGAAATTGTAAAGAAATTGTCATATGACTACCTCAATCCAATGAGCTCATTCCAATGCTATATGGATTTGAGAATTACGGATATACATACGTAGGAGCAGACATATTTATATTATTAACAATGAAGTTACAGTATTAGAAAAGCTGTATAATTCAACTGGAATAAGCAAGTTGGCCAACCTTTATACATTTTGCGCGAACGGATGTGTGAGAACCGAATCGGACACTTTTTGGGTAAATACTTCCATTTTTTGAGAATTATTTTTTTTTAGTAAGCGTTCTAAACGCAAATCAGGCTCCAGACTCAATTCATCTAGAATTATTAATTATTACACAAATTAGTAAAATTTACATGCTCCTTGCATGAGAAAGATAAACAGTTACGGACTTGATGGAAATTCATAATTATTCAGAAGGGATTGAATTCGAAGATACTATTGACAGTGAAGTGAATCGTAGTTCGTCGATTTATTAGGTTGACATTGCTAGGTAAATAAAGCACATTGAAAGGAGGGGGAGCGTCGTGGGGGAAATTCGTGGGGGATGAAATTGATTCTATATATATAATGTGTTTAAGTATTTAAGCACAGTGGAGTAAATGAAAACGTTTGTTGATGTGGAGTACTTTAACGTTGGAAGTTATTTTAAGTGGGGGAGACGTGTATAAATGTATACAGTATTTCGTTACGAAGTACGCCGTTTAAAAAAGATCAGATGAGGGTTAGAGGCAAGACTGTTAAATTTAGTATTAGGATATTATGCATTTAATCTCCCAATAAAAAACTGGAGAAATTGTTGTCCAAAGGATTAAAAGGTAGGTCTTTTTGAATCTTTTCGATGATAGTTGCATTCTCTATGAATCGATTTTATTTCTGATTTACTAAACCTTATTTCTTCTGTGTAGTGAGTCAATGAAATGCAGCTTATACTAAGTCTATTGCATTTATCTGCTTCTTACATCCAACGTCGATAGGATATTGACCGTGTAGGATATTTCTATTTCCAAAGCAGAATCTAATTGACACTACTGATGCCTCAAATTCAGTTCACTTCTATGCGCTTATCAAAGAAAAAAAACACACTAGGTCTCTGGAAAGGTATAGGTCAAAGAGGATATTCCAAAGGAATGTAGAAGGTCATTGGAATAGTCACAGGCATAATACATTTCCATTAAAAGGAGAATGATTCCATGGCGAAGATTTGACGTTAAGAGTCTATTCTCGTTCAATAACTGCGGAAATAAGCACAATTCCAGAGAAGATTATGTAAAATGCAATTACATATTAGAGGATTCAATCTTCGTCAGATGAAAATTTGACTTTTACACTTTCTAAAAATGGGCTTAGTGAAGACCCTAGATCTAATCACTTAAACTAGTTGCAAAAAATCTGAGTAAAGCAGCAGCTGAGGTTGCAGCAGACAACATGCAGGCACATTTATTTTCTAATAGCGTACCTAAGTAATCCGCTTCTCCCGGAATAAATAAATAGGCATCATGTGACATTGTGCGATTAAAAGGTCCTCTGGATTTGAGGGCGACGTCTAAGACAAGATGTAGTGATGAACAACACAATCAAGTATTGTTATGTTCTTACTTTAACCTAGAGATTGTCTTACAAAAGATATGAAGTACAAGTTTATAGTTCTGATTTTGCTTGGCTGCAATGTTCAAATTCCCCCCAAAAGCAGATACTCCACAGTTTTGACTTGGCAAGAGTGCCTCAGTTGTTAAAAAGAGCTATTTGCACCCCGTAAGCTAACCAATATCAAGTATATACTCTATTACTTAGGTTAATTAAAAGTTGCCTAAAGCTGATCCCCACGAAGAAAAGAAAGCTGATAACTTAAAAATGATATCTAAAAATCAGATTGTATCTGGGGTATATTTTGATGATTCCAAAGTTTACGCACCAATTTTTTTCTCGAATGTAAATTTTGCAACCATCTCACGTGCTATGGTATGATAGACATGCTTCGATGCATGAATTTCGGTTCCATATAAATATTCTTCGATTCTAACTTGTTATAAATTTTCCAATAACTATCTAGATACTCTAATCTAACCTTAAATAATACCAAAAATGCCTATTCCTGTTCCACATGGTGGTGTACTTCAAGATTTAATTCTTCGTGATGCTGAAATCCATTCTAAGTTGATAGAAGAAACTTCAACCTTACCTAAGTTAAAGTTAACCGCTAGACAATTGTGTGATTTAGAACTCATCTTGAATGGTGGATTTTCACCATTAACTGGATTTTTGAATGAAGATGACTATAATTCAGTCGTTAATGACATGAGATTATCTTCCGTTACAGAAAATGGTAAAGGCTTATTGTGGTCTATCCCAATCACTTTAGATGTATCTGAAGAAGTTGCTAAATCTTACAAAATTGGAGACAGAATTGTTCTTACCGATTTAAGAGATAACAAACCTTTGGCTATCATAACTTTAGAATCTATTTACAAGCCAAATAAGGAAGTAGAAGCTAAGAAGGTTTTCAGAGGTGACCCAGAACATCCTGCTGTCAACTACTTATTCTCGACTGCAGGAGACTATTATCTTGGTGGATCTCTCCAAGGTATTGACTACCCAAAACATTATGATTACGTTGAATTCCGCAAGACCCCTACTGAATTGAGAAAGGAATTTAGCAACCTTGGATGGGACAACCAAAATGTTGTTGCTTTTCAAACAAGAAATCCAATGCACAGAGCTCATCGTGAATTAACTGTTCGTGCTGCAAAGGATATCGGAGAAACTGGGCATATTTTAATCCACCCAGTAGTTGGTTTGACCAAGCCTGGTGATATTGATCACCATACTAGAGTTAAGGTGTATCATCAAATCTTACAAAAATTCCCAGAAGGTTTAGCTACATTATCATTGTTACCTTTGGCCATGAGAATGTCTGGTGATCGTGAAGCCTTGTGGCATGCATTGATTAGAATGAATTATGGTGTAGATCACTTTATTGTAGGTAGAGACCATGCCGGCCCAGGTAAAAACTCTAAGGGTGTTGATTTCTATGGCCCTTACGATGCCCAAGAGTTATTGGAAGGATTGAAGGAAGAATTACAACCGAAGATCAAGATTGTTCCATTTAGAATGGTTACCTACTTGCCAGACGAAGATAGATACGCTCCAATTGATACAATTGACACGTCTAAGGTTAAGACTGCCAATATTTCCGGAACTGAGTTAAGACAACGTTTAAGAGATGGAACCGAAATTCCTGAATGGTTTTCTTACCCTGAAGTTGTTAAAATCTTAAGGGAAACTAACCCCCCAAGACCAAAGCAAGGGTTTGCAATCATTATTAATGGCTCTGGGCCAAATGCAGAACAAGGTGAATTCTTATCTCATGCTTTGCAATCTACTTTAAATCAATATACCGGAGAACGTCGTATTACCAAGTTAAGTAACACAGAAGTTAGCCCATTTGTTGTAAATGAATTGGTTAAAGCAGGATCAGGTGTTATCTATACTACTGACTCTGAATTTTCTGAAGTCACTAAGATAGTTGGCTCCGGTAATACAGTTATTGTCAATGTTGATGGAAAGGAAGCATCTGAAGGTGTTTTCTCATTGACAAAGGAAGCAGGTGCATCTGATTATGATTTAAGAAGTATTGTTGCTGACATTGTAAATTATTTAAAGGCTCAAGGTTTCTATTAGATTCAGAATAGAATTAAAGAATCGAACACATAGTAAAAATTAAAACTGTATGTACTAGAAGTACATTTGACATAATTAGCC